TGGAGTAAAAACATCCAGCTGCCTTTCAAAATTCAATTGCCATCCCCTTCCCATATAGGCCTCCCCAGCTGCCTACACAGTCTAAGTCAGATTCCCCACTCTGAAGTCCACAGCAACCTAAACATATACATATCTTCATTGGAGCACCTACCACCTGTACTGTATTATTTGATTTGCTTGTTTGCCTTCCTATAAGAAAGATTTAAGATCCTCAAGGGCAAGAAAGAGATTTTCTTTGACCTTATACTCTTAATATTTTTGAGACTGGCACACAACACTCTTTGAATAAATGCGTATTAGATGTTAAAGGGGACTCTATTTAGAAACAATACTATTTTGGAAAATCTTAGATTTTAAAAACCACTCCTGACTCCTTACCCGAAACAGGACTCATTCAGACACAATACCATTTTGCAAAGGCTTAGATTTTGAAGACCACCCTTGACCCTGTCTCAAAAAAAACCCCAAATCCAAAATAACAACAAAAACCACTCTTGATTAAATACCCAGACACTCTTAGAGGTATATTTTTAGTGCAGCTGTAACTTCTAATTATCGTTACCTATTCAAATAATAGTTTGAGGTTGCTGCTCTGCATTTAAAAATTTGATTGCATGTTGGTCTGTATCTGAGTCCATCTTAATTAGAACATACATGTGGTTTTTAATTTCATTTTGTGTGTTTCTATTGTTTTGTTTTTTATAGCACTGGGGATTAAACCCAGGGCTTTGCACTGAGCTGTATCTCCAAACTTTTATTTATTTATTTGTGTCCCAAGATGATCAAACAATCTTTATTACTTTGGAAATGGAGGACATAATTTTCTCAGCACCCAGTTCTATGGAAATAGACCACAGTATTTTTAACGACAAAGGTAGTCTAGATATTGGCATACACATGAGACCTATTAATAGAACAACTATGCCATCCTTGCAAAAGCAACAAAATCAGCAACAATAATAGCATCGATGACAAACTGAATAATGATATATCATATGAACCAATAATGTGCAATTACAGAAAGGAGGTATATAATTATAGTATAAACCCTAAGGTAAATCAGGCAAACCAAACACTGACATTTAATAAATATTTACTAAATGTGACAATCATAGTATATTTTCATTAACAATAGAAAAGAATTTAATGGTAATAACATACAGTTAACTAGCCATCTAAAGATTAATAAAGAATAATTGTGGGCTGGGGATTTAGCTCAGTGGCACTATTTATTTATTTTTTGAGATAGGGTCTCACTAAGTTGCCCAAGCTGGCCTCAAACTTGCAATCCTGATGCCTCAACCTTCTGATTACCTGGGATTCTAGGTGTGCACCACTGCACCCAGCTATCTCTGTTGACCCTCATAGTGATTCACTTCCTCCTATGTTTATAATGTTTTGTGTCAGTTAATTGCTGGTAGGAATGATTTTACAGAAATCTCCTGTACCTTGGATTGTAGACGTGTTAGGTTTTGAATTTGTTCGTGCCAGGACCCCAGGGTTTCAAAAGTGTAGACCTGGCTCCCTCCCTCCCTTTTTCCTTCTTTCACTTCCTTCTCCTCCTCTTCGTCCTCCTCCTCCTTTTTCTTTTTTACCTTTTTGGCAGTAATAGGGATCAAACTCAGGATCTAGCACATGTTAGGCAAGTGCTCCATCACTAAGCTACATCTCCAACCGCAGATCCAGTTTCTATCTTAAATTCTTGGCTTGGAAGTTCCAAACTATAAGAGTAGTGAAAATTCCTACCAGACTGCTTTTCTGACCTTGCCTACTCAACTCTATTTTTCAGTGTTTGTAATGGAAGGAATCCTTGTAAGCTCCATCGACAATGTTACTAGAAGCATCATCTGAAATATATTTTGGGCCTATTCACTCTTCTATCATTAGTTCAGTGCAAGTCACTGTTCACTTTCATGTACTTTTCTCCTGTAACCATCTCCTCCTTCCTGGCCATCTCACATCCATGCTTGCCATTTTTCCCCCATCCAATTTCTATGTAAAAGCCAAGCCTTGTAGTTAAGAAGTTCTTGTTACTTTCTGCTTAAAATCTCCTACTGGCATGTGACCCAGAAATTCTACTCCTAGGTAGAATATTTCCAAGAGAAATGAGAACATATATCCACATAAAAACTTGTATACAGATGTTTATAGTAACATTACTCATAATAGCCAAAACGTGGAAACTCCCAGAGGTCTATTAACTTATGAATAAACAAACAAAATGAAATAGTTTTGGCTCATGAAAAGGAATATAGTTCTGACACAAGCCACAACATGGATGAACCTTGAAAGCCTTCCACTAAGTGAAAGAAGCCAATCACAAAAGATGATAAACTGGTTCCATTTATGGAAAATGTCTAAATTAGGTGAATCTATAAAAATAGAAAAGCAGGTCAGTGTTTACTTAGGTCTGTTGGGAAAAAGGACGTAGGGGACAATAACTAAAGGGTACAGGAGTTCTCTTTGATAAAATGTTGTAAAATTATCTGTGGTAATAGTTGCACATATCTATGAAGATACTAAAAATTAATGAATTGTCAGTTTAAATGAGTGATTTTCTTGGTGTGAGAATTATCTCTGTAGAGCTATTAGAAAAGTTCATAATGGTTCTTTGCATATAATCCAAAACCTTTATCATGGCTTTCAGACCCTGCACTATATAGTTCTCGTCTGCTCCTCAAGCTGCACCTTGGAACACTGGTTAGCCAGCTCTCTGCACTCAGTCATGATGCCTTCTTCCAGGTTCTCCAAAGACCAAGAAGCTTCCCACTTTAGCGTTGGGAAAACTGCCACTGGGAAATCCCTTCTCCTTCTCTTCACTTCTCTTGTCACTGTTCTGCAGATTTTGGGTTGATCTGGTTTGAACACCACTGCCTTGTGATGTCCTTCCCTGACTTCCCAGAAGGAAGGCTGTCTTCTACAAGCCGATACCCTGTAATACACCACATAACTGCTCACACTACCCCTTTACGGTACAACTGAAATACTCATCAAAATGCTTGGGATCATAAGTGTTTCAGATATGACTTTTTTTTCAGATTTTTGAAATATTTGTACACACATACACATAATGAGATATCTTGAAGAGGGGACCTAAATTTAAACATGAAATTCACTTATATTTCATAGGCACCTCATACACTTATTCTGAAAGAAATTTTATGCAATATTTTAAACAATTTTGTGCATGAGACAATCTCATATTATTCACTTCCAATATTATATTGGTGTTCAAAAAATTTTGGAATTTGGATTTACAGATTAGATTACTTGTTTAATTATTGTCTAACATTTTTGTTAGCATATATGTTTCCCAAGGGCTCATATCATATTTTTCTGCTTTGTTTATGCATCACTTGGGCCTGTACCTGGTGCTCAATAAATATTTTGAAAGGAATGAAATCTATGTAACAAGTATGTAACAAGTGACTCAATCCAACAGCTCTTTATCCACTATCTCTCTGTGTATCTTGTGTCATTCCTAAAATGCACTTATCATGACCCGTACTTGACATACCATGTTTGTTTTTTATCTACTCCTTTTATTCTTATAACTGCTGCTTTTTAAGAAAATATCTCCCATTAATCCTATGTGGTACATGGCAGATGCTAATAGATATTTGTGGACTGAATAAAACTTCTGAAACAAAATCAAAATCTGCAGGAGGTACTATCTTACTGATTATGTTATAAAAGTCCCAGAAGGCAATGACCACAGAAATTTCTCTAAATAACAGCTCATGTAACTAGGTTCTTAATAAGGCAGTTTGACAACAAACCTCATTTCCTCATTCTTTCAGGGCTTGTGATTTTCATGATGAATTTAACTTGTTTCACTTCTCTCATTTCAGACAGATTTTTTTGAAGGAGTTTTATAGGCTAATAAAAAGATTACTTTTGTGCTTGTTTCTATATGAAACAAAGAGTACTTATATCACATCTGAACTAGTGACTACAAACATTCCATACTCAAGACTGATTCATTAACATTTCTTTGACTAGAAGCAAACAAGAGAACTGTTGACTTTAAAACCAGTTAGACCAGAAAACTGGTTTAACTCAATTTTAATGTAAAGAAATGAAAAGGAGGAAAAATAAGGAAGCAGAAAAATATGATATTCCAACTCATTTAACATCTCCCTTCCTTTTCTTAACATGTTTTAGTGCTGTCTTCACAATAAACAGATTAACTAAAAAATTTAAGTTTCATGTAAGAACTCATAAATATAAAATATAAGTGTAAAATCTCATTCTTTCAGAGATTTAAAATAAGTCAAATTGAAATCCAAAGTTTTATAAGATTTCACCTCTTTTTCAAGTCTTAAAAAGGGATAATTATAGCCTTAGGCTTCAAATCTATTCGAAACTCCCAAATAGAATGCATTCTCTGTTTTATACTTCAAGAGGAAAAAATGGCCTATTCTCCTTTGGCCACAAATTTCAAAGGTCTCTTAATCCTAAAAATAAAAAGTTCTTAGATTCTACCTTAATTATCTCCTATGTTAATCCATAACTGCTCTCTTATAATTTTTCTTCAAAGAAATTGCAGAACAGCCAGGTACTAAACTTCTGCCATATTATCAGACATTAATTTCCTTTTCTGGTTTCTTCAAATTAATTAAAACTATATATGCCCGCCTCATTTCTTTGAGCCATCAATCACACCATTAATTGCTTCCAGAGAAGTTAGTCATCATGGACTACCCAGAACAAAAGATTTTGCTCTGTGCTGCAGGTTCCCAGCACAAAATGCAAAAATAACACCTGACAACTGTCTCTCTCACATGACAAAGGGAAAACAAGGTCTGATTCTACCCATAGTAGAATAAATACTTCGGTTAAATAATCAGAAACAATTAAGAACTGCGCCAACAACCTCCAAGGGGCCAAAGACAGAACCCAAAGTAAAATGAAGATTTATTTCCATACTTTATTTGACATCAGGGAAAATACTTCACGCCACTCCTTTACCCCCTACTTCAGAGCACAGCCTAACATACCTCCTCTTCTCCCTGGCTTCCACAGAGGAGTCTGCTGCAGTAGATGAGGGCACTGTGACAGCGGTGACCCCATTGGCAGTGCTGGGTGGAGGGCGATTGGTGATCACACAAAGCGGGGTACTAGAAGAGACACTGTCAGCTGTTTTCTCTGCTGTAGAGTCAGCCTGTGATTTGTAAGGAGCCCTGAAATAAAAAAACACACAAGCAGAAAAGGAATGGTCAGGCATGCAACACAACAAAGCACTGGCACAGAGAAAGAAAGGTTAGAGAAAAGTCGAACTAGAGAATCTTCTTGCTCTGATTTTATTTGTTGGTTTGTTAATTTTGAGCTTTTAATCTCAGAATAGTATGACTGCACATTTAGTCTGGCGTCCTCTGCCTGAGGATTTATATGAGAAATATTTTTGCTGAGATTAAAAACCAAACAAACAAAAATAAGCTATGGCACAAAGCAAGAAAATGACATATGCAAAAGTGCTTGAAATGATTCCTCATTACCATCTGGCTTCCCTCCACACATGCACACAGAAACAGCGTCTCCCTACACGTGAAAAAGACACTAAGGTCACTTACGATGTTAGTCTCCACCTGTCCCTTTATTCTTGGCAGTGAGAATCTTTCTGGTAGTCCTCAGCCTAGACTTGATGACCATCTTCTTGGATTATCCGTTTGAAAAATACTCTACAACCTCAGTATGCTTAGCTCTCCCTTAACTAGTTCAGCAACAGCAGTCTCTTTCCATTCAAACAAATGCTTAATTTCTATATTCAGAACTGCATAAGTGAGAAACTGAAACAAAAACCAAATAGGATTCTACATGTAACCCTAACTGCAGACTTTTCAACAGCAAGCTGTATAATTAAACTCATTTATGTGAAAACAAGATCTTTGTTTCTTAACAAAGAGTAAGGAACAACCATTGGCTCTCCACCTAAAAAGCTATCATTTGTGATGTCACAGCTTGTTGCTGGGGTAACAGAGATCCAAAATTGATACAGTACTCACAGAGATGGGGAAAGCAATGAAAAGCATAAGGGGTAAAAAAAAATCTGTTTTTCACCTGACAGTTATTACCAGAAATGTGTACATATAAGTAGCTGCAAGCTCGCTTCCAAATAATCACTACTAGAATAAGCATAAAGGAAATAATCAGATCCAAACCCAAATATAGTGCCTGCATACAAATATGAAACTGTAATGCTTTTAAAGATGGAAGTAGTATTCAAAACATAAAAGGTACTTATCCAGAAGCAATTAATAACTCAAAATGAAATTTTATACTAATTTTCCAATTTAAACATTGAAGATAAATAATTTCTCAGACTTATCAGTCTATAAGAAATACTAATAAAATTACCCAAAACACAGCTATAAAAAATTATTCAAGCTGGGCATGGTGGTGCACACCTGTAATCTCGGCACTTGAGAAGCAGAGGCAGGAAGACCATCACGAGTCTGAGGCCAGACTAGGCTACATAGTGAGACCCTGACTTAAAAAACAAACAAACATGCAGAGTCAGGCATGGCAGCATGTACCTGTAATCTCAGTTACCGAGAAGGCTGAGCCCAAGAATTTGAGGCCATCCTAGCAACAAAGCAAGACCTCATTTCAAAAAGCAAAACAAAACAAAAACAAAAACTTTTATATTAAAGCCTTACCTGAAAATTTTTGTTAGTTTAACAACATGTTTTGGTCTCTCTACAATTTTTTAAAACTGTTGAAATACCTGAGGTTTTAGGTTTCATTTATTTTACAGTAGGTTTTTTATTATTACTTTGAAATGTGGTATAATTTCTTTTTACTATGTACTAGAGATCAAACTCAAAGCCTCATACTTGCTAAGCAAGTGCTCTACTACTGAGCTGTTTCCTAGCCTGAAATATACTATGATTTTATAAGCAGATTGTTAGGAGCAGAACAGCATAAGCTCCAGAGCAGGGATCAGAGGCTGTACAATGGAGCAGAATAAATGTGGAACCATTTGGAATTAAGTTTAAGCCAATTTAACTCTCTAATCTCTTCATCTATAAAATAGGGATAAGAGCGTCCTAACATTCAGGGTTCTTGTGAAAATTAAAAAATGTATGAAGAATATCTAACACAATGCCTGAAAGAAAATATAAGCTCAGTAGAAACAAAACAGTGATGAAAGAGCTAAGAGCCTGAATGGTCAAATCCGATTCAGTCCTGCCTGTTTCTCAGCAGTGATCTTGGACTGCTGATTAGGCTTTGGGTCTGCGTTTCCTCATCTATAAGGAAAGAACAAATACTGGGGAGCTCTTTTGAGACTATAAGTGATATACATGTTCCCAAAATAGCTAACTGCCTACCCCATATCTGTTTTAGCTTTCTTCCTTACTATGGAAATCCTCTCATAGAGCAACAGTGTATCTATGAAAAAATCCATATTTCTGGGCTGGAGATTTAGCTCAGTGGTGCTGCTGCCTGCCTCGCAAGTGCAAGGACCTGAGTTCGATCCCCGGTAGGAAAAAATAAACAAATAAATAAATTTTAAAAATCCATTTTTCCGAAGTTTCCCTGAATGCTGGAGGTGTACAAGACGGAGGAGTAAAGAAGACCAGTATTCCTGAGGGAATTCTCAGTTCAGAGGCGATCCCCTTTGCCTGCTCTTCCCTTGCTTATGCTTCCTGCTTAGAATGCAGCCTTACAGCTAGAGCTACAGCAGTTATTTTGGACCATGAAATAAAAGCCCTGATATAAAGACTACAGAGCAGCAAGACTAAAAAAACTAGATCCTTTAATGACTGTGGAGCTACTGTGTAGCCTATTTCCAAACTTCCTTAAGTGCAATAAAAAAATAAAATTTTTATCTTATGAGGATTTATTACGCGTAATTAACCCAAATCCCAAATGTAATTTTTGTAAGCAGGGCATGGTGGTGCATGCCTGTAATCCCAGCATTTGGGAGGCTGAGACAGGAGCATCACTGTGAGTTCGAGACCAGCCTGGGCTACATAGTGAGTTCCAGGTCAGTTTTGACTACATAGTGAGACCCTGTCTCAAAAAAAAAAAAAA